TAGGGGCTCTCTGACCTGAGGCGGGTCTGTCAGCATGCTGAGATATGCAACTTGAAATCAAATTTAAGATCTTTTGCTCACTGCACACATTTAGCATAATACAACCATGGCAGAATGAGGCAGGACATCTAGGGTATAATTAACAATCACTATTCTATGATAGTCTCAGCAACACAAATGCCAATTTGCTTGTCAAATTCCAAAGAGAGAGGAAGGGACCATGTGGTAACAATACAAAACAAGGTCTTTGTTTTCAGGGCTCAGCTCAGCAACTGCTCTGTTCTTTGTGTGGCAAGAAAGAAAATCTCGTCAGCTCCTGGTCCACTGGGCTCTAGATACAAAGTTACTGTGTGGACATCATTCCAGAATCAAATTCCAATACAACTCAGTTCTCTGGATCTGTGAGGAAGTCTGTGAAGACGTTAACTGAGATCCAGGAGCCCAGTGGAGGAAGCTCAAATAAAGAAGACACCAAGTTCCTTTATTTGTGGCTTGCTGCGTACATCCTGTCAAAAGCTCTAGTATTCATTAAATTTTGTTGTTGCTTAATAAAGACAAGAAGGCAAATTGTTACTTAATAGCTACAGTTTCTTTGACAGGGAAATTTTTTCTAAGAGTGGAACTATCTGAAAAAATTAAAGGAATCTTGTTGTGGTATGCATGTTGAAAGCTATTCTACAGATAATAATAGAATTAAATATTTTTCTCCTGAAAAGGAACTATTGATTATGACATAAATAATAAAATGTTTCTCTTTTACTACATACTCTCCTGATATGAGTTGTATGATTTGAGTTGAAATTGGATTTTTAAGCAACTTTCATTCATTTTTGTCTATGAATGCGATTTTGTCTAGTTCGTTTTGTCTAAAGAATATGAGAGTTCTCATATTCTGTTGAAGAAACAGAATGAGGGAAGGAGACAAGCATTTATTGATGTGCAAGACAGTTTATATTCATATTTGAATTTGATTCTAAGATATTGTTATGCCCATATTACTGATGCAAAACTTGTTCTCAAAGAGATAATTAAATTTCATAACTATTAAGCAGAAGATTTAGGGTAGGAATTCAGTTTGGTCTGACTTCAAAGCCTATGCTCACTTTCCCTCACATAATATTGTCTATATCTGATTATAATTGCTGGATTAAAAGAAAAATTACCAGATTTTACTTATGCTTTCTTTATGTACCAAACAATTGAAAGTTCACACAATCCCAGTGTTTAGAATTGAACCACCACTCTGTACTCTGATGCGAGAGAGAATCTGAAGGTGGAAATGGCAGTATGATCAGTGGGAAAAAAAGAGGAGGCCAAACTGACTGAACTTTGGTTTTATATCCAAGGTAGGCATGGATCCAACAGCTGTGGGGCGGTGGAGGATCTTACCCAACCCAGCCTGCCTGAGGGAGGGCAGCCCACATCCACAAAACCCTGAGCCCTGCTCACTCTCTATTTTTATTTATTTATTTATTTTTTGATGCTGGAAGCTAGTTTCCAAAGAGTCCTGCTTTCCCTGGGCACAGGTTGTAAATGTCATTTATTGTGCTTTTGACTAGGTACCTTAAAAGACAACAGCAGAGAAGGGGGAAATAGGGGAGGGACGGTGGGGGGTGGGGAGCTGGGGAGGGATAGCAGGGGGAGAAAAAAAAAAGACAACAGCAGAATGCAGTTGAGAAGCACTTTCATGATGAAATGTAATGATCTAATTTATTCATTTTGTAAATGTTTAGTGTCTTTTTTTGATGTCATAAGACAGAATACAGGTATAGGAGCCATCTAGATCTGGATGTAAATCCCAGTCAGTCACTCACTATTTAACCTGAGGCCATTATTTAATATCTCTGTACTTTATGAAATGAGAATAATATCAAGCTCACAAGGTTGTTGTAAGAATTAGAAATAATATATAAGATGTGTCTAATACAGAGCCTAGTACCTTGAAGGTACAAAACAAAATGTGACTTATTGTTTTTATTATTCATACATTTAAAATAGTTATTGTGTTATATTGATGTAATAGAGAACATGATAGATCTAGGAAACAAATAAATGGAAGAATAGGAAACTTTCCCTGCCTTTGAGACATGCACATCTAGTCCTGGAGCCAGATGCATGAACACATGATGATGGGATGAGGAAGGTTTTGTGACTGAGGTCAGGGCAACTTGCTCCGGGAGCACCTCTTATGGTTTGTTATTAGTTAGCTTAAATATAATTATATATAGGAGCTACAAATAATATAGGATCTAAAGATGTTGGGTGCCCGTGGCATCCACCAATGCCTCACAAGGATTCCCAGCTCTAAGGTGGGAGTCTCTGGGTCAAAGGTGAAAATTAGGTTTTCTTTCATGCATCAACTCTGATAATTGATATAGTGGAAACTCTGAGCAAAGAAGTTTGCTCACATTGTAGAAGCAGCATATTCAAGAGACTGAGAATTTGGCTTCTGGAGCCAGATTGGTCTGTTGCTTGCTTGATCCTGGACAAGTTTCTTAACTTCCTTGTCCTTCAGTGTCTTCCTGTGTATGCCTGGTTCTGATCCAGGTTTTCTTGTTATGTCATATTCTGAGTTTTAGCTTTAGTTTTTATGTGCTCATTTTTAGTCCTTTCCATACCCCACATTAGCTGCTGTTCTATTTTGACCTTTGCTAGTTTATAACAGTTTCTTATATCAGAGCTGATATGTAACAGCAAGGACTTCTCATTCTTTCTGTAATTACTTAAATTATAGTCTTTAAAATATAAAGTAACACAATATTGACCACATAAACTCCATAATCTTCGTTTTACAGTTTCAGGCATTTTAAATTAAGTACCTATTTTGAATTAGACACTTTATTTTCTGTGGTACAATCTGACAAAGATATATTTACAAATGAGAAAATACAGACTTAGGGAAGTTAGGTGGTAATTAACAAGTGGAAGATCTGAAAGTAAACTTTGGTATTCAAGGGTCCAAAGTTTGAGCTTCTTCCTTTCTCACTACATGCTGCATCCTGGAAACTATTGTGTTCAGCACTTGGTTCTAGGACAAGTTAAGACAGAACTTTGGAGAATATTGGGAAAGATGGAAAAATTAGTAGGAAAATGGGGTACAGCTCCCAGAAAAGAAATGAGCAATTAAAAATCAAGTGCACTCAGGGACTTAAGGTCTAATCTATTTCTATACTTACGTACAGGTGTGAGAATCAGGCTGGACTGATTTGGGTTCATGTAATGGGGGTGAGGAAGATCAGAACTGCAGAGCAGGCATGGCAGGATATTTGGCATAGTGGGAACAGTGGGATTGGACCTCAGGGAGGCAACAAGTAGAGCTAGCAGGCTGAAGCAGACAAGTAAGCCTATCAAGATACTGGAGTGCAAGACAGGGCTCCCATCTTTCTGGGTCCCAGTTCCTCGGAAGGTATTCCAGAGACAGTAAAATAGGCAAGTAGCAGCTTGGCCTCCCCTTGGAGAATTTATCTTGCAGAAGGATAAGGTGCCTGGATCTTCCATTTCTAATAATAAGACAGAGATGAGGTACCCTGACTGACACTCACTGAAAACAATGGAAAACAGTGAATAAATTATATACAACATCTTATTAAATGCTCTAATGAGCTGGCAAGAAAATAAAAAGCCATGAATCAAGTGAAAGTAAAAATCCACGAGGCAGGTTTTTAACATAAAGGCATTTGCTAAACCAGGTGGAAAACAGCCTTGAATAATACTATTGGATGAAAACAAAGTCCAGAGACTGCTGGACATACTGAGTCCAAAGAGAAGCTCCCAACAAAACGTTGGGGCTCTAAAGGATTATGTTCTCAGCATAAGGGTGAGTTAGAAATAAACCCAATCATCTGACCCAGGAGGCCGAAAGGAAAACTGCCGGGCTTGATTCTTAGCACCAACAGAGAGGAAAAGTTGTACCCTAAGATGGCCCTCACATGATTTTGCAGCCTAAATTTAGATTATCTGGGTGATACACACACACACACACACACACACACACACACACACACACACGCACACACACACACACACACACGCTCTCCAGCCCAATAATTTTGATTAAAGTGGTTCTTTAATTAGACGAAAGCACAATTCTCTATGGAAAAAACAATTTCAAAGGCCTCAAAGCATTTCCACAGACAAAACTCCAAGACATATGAACTCAGTCCAAAATACCAATGAGAAACAAAGAAAAATATAGCACTCTGAAAAAGACAAGGAAAAACTCAGAAGAGCTAGACCTACACTGAATATAGATATCTGACTTGTCAGATACAGAATATAAATAAGAAGATTTAATTTTTAGAGAAATACAAAAGGAATCACAATATTTGCAAAGGGCAAAAGTATTAAAAATGACCAGACAGATTTAAAATAGAAACGATGGAACTCCTAAAGTTAATAAAAAATAAAATAATTGAAATGAGAATTCAATAGATCTATTTAATTCAATGGATAATTCACTATTTAGCAGATTAGAAGCAGCTAAAAAGTGAACTGATGAACTGGAAGATACAGCCGAAAAAGTATACATTTGAGAGTATTTGTGGACAATATGAAAGAGAGATTAAGAAAAATTGAACACAGAATCAACCGGTTTAATATGTATGAAACTGGAATTCTGAAGAGGAGGAGAGAATCGGCCAGAGATCATATCTGAAGATGTAAGGGCTCAAAAACTTCTAACATTGATAAATGACATCATCATCATGCTCCCATTCAGAAACTGTGATGATTTCCCATAAGAAGAATAAAAACAAATCCATATGTTTACATATAAAACTGAAACTGCAGAACATCAAAGACAATGACAAGATCTTAGAGGGGAAAAAAACAAATTACTTTAAAAGAAATGATAATTGAAAAACAGCCAGTTTCTCAATAGCAAAAGTGAAAGCTGTAAGTGAAATGATACTGTCAACATATTGTGCATTCGTTTTCTATTGTTATCATAAGAAATTATCACAAGTTTTTCAGCTTAAAAACACACAAGTTTTTCAGCTTACAGTTCTGTGGGTCAGAAGTCCAGGTGGGCTCAGCTTGTTTCTCTGCTCTGAGTTTTACAAAGCTGAAATCAAGCTGTCTTGATTTCAGCTGGGCTCTTATTGGAAGGCTCTGGGAAGAATTCACTTTCGAGCTCATATGATTGTTTGCATAATCCATTTCCTTGCAGTTGTAAGACTGAAGTTCCTGTTTCTTTGCTGGCTGTCAGCTTGGGGATAGCTGTTAGATCCTGGAGGCCTCTCTCTGGTCCTCTATCTAAAGCCAGCAATAGAACCTCAAAGTCTTCTCATGCTTGAAATCTTTTGATCTTCCCTTTTGCTGTATCTCTCTTGATGCTGCTACATATCTCTGACTGAAGGCACTGGAAGTTCTCTGCTTTGAAAGTCCCCTTTAGTTAGATTGGACCCGCCTGGATACTCCAGTATACTCTTTTTCAAAGGTCAATAGCCTTAATTATATCTACAAGTTTTTTTTTTGCCATGTAATGTAACCTATTAACAGGTTCCAGGCATTATGGTGTGGACAACTTTGGGATGGGATCATTATTCTGCTGACCACATAGTAAGAGAAAGTAACTATTTGGAACCATTTTTCAAGAATAAAGGAAGAATGACACTTTTAGATAAGCAGCAGCTAAAAGAATTTGTCACCAAACAACTGTCACTAAAGAAAACTCCAAAGAATGTGTTTTGAGCAGAAAAAAATGCGACCGAAAAAAGAAGGTCTGAAATGCAAGAAAGAATGAAGAGTAAAAAAGGTTTTGCACTGTATAAATCAGTAGTAAGTACTTTGTAGATTAAGAAAAATAAGCTTAAATTAAAATCTATGACAATAATAACGTTTAATTGGGTGGAATAAATGTATTCTAAGGTCTTTATATTTGTTCCTTGAATGCAAATAGACTTAGCGTGAAGAATGTACTTCAGGCAGAAGACCTCTGCAGTGTCTCCTGGTCATTAATCAAATTTCTTTCTTATTTTATCTATGTTAGGATCTGGAATAAAGTTACACTATCTTCTTAATAAAAGTTATACAGGTTTCTTTTTGGAATAATTTGTAAGATAGAAATATTTTGAATAATCAGTAAAACTTCTCAATAAGATCATCTAGTGTGCTTAATGGGAAGGTTTTTAAAAGTACCAATTCAATTTATTTAGAGATTATTGCCCCATTCACCTTTTATTTCTAGAGTCAGTTTTGGTAAATTGTATTTTAATTCATGTTTCAATTACTTATTAGCATACAAATTTCAAAACATCCCCTTATTACCTTTTAAATTCTACCTAATCTGAATTATGTTCTATTACTGATTTCTGGTATTTTTGAGCTTTTGTTTTTTGCATTGATCAAGCTTGCCAGAGCTTGTAAATTTTACTAGTTTGTTGAAAGTACTAATTCTTGGTTTTGTATATTCTCCCTATGTTTATTTTGTATTTCATTTAAAAATCTTTATTTTGGGGTATTGCAGGTATTTTGAGATATATATATATATATATATATATATATATATATATATAACTTTTAATCTTTCTATATCCTCCTGTTTAGCAATTTTTTTTCAGCTATCATGGTAAAATTTTCCTAAAACCTAAAAGTACATGAAATCTTTGCCTCAATGAAATTTTCCAAGAGTCTTGTGGTTCTCTCAGGATAGGAGTTTCTGCAGGTACGCATAATGACAAAGTCCATTAAGCCTGAGACCACAGACATATTTACTCAAGATTTGACATGATTTCCAGGAATAGGGGATGAGGAAGCACAATATAGGATTGAACTCTCAAAATGCTTCTTAAATGTAGAGAAGAAGTAATCTAACCAAATGTTAGTTTTATTTTTAGGGAATATTTGTATTTTTAGAGAAGGGAATAAAATAGGTTAAAATAAAGACCTTTCTAGAATAACACCAAGATCAGAGCAATTTTTTGTACAGGTTCCCAAGTTATTTGTCCATAAATAGATTCCTATCCATAGTCTCATGATAAATATAAGGTTTTCATTCTTATATTTAATATAAATATAAATGAAATATAAATATTTCATTCTTCTTCAATGAAACATCATTTGATGTACTTTGAAGCTCACTTTGAAATTTTTAAGCCTATATATAAGTATTTCTAGGTATATTTATGTTATTAAAAGCAGAGGAGAAAAAGATCACAGTTTTACCTTGTATAGTAAGGCTAAAGGCAGCATCTTGCCAACTTTTTACTGAAGAAATACCATTAGGGCTTGGTTTATGAGTTATTTCAGATTTTTCCACAGGACCAGAGGAAGATCCATGTAATGCCCAGATAATTTCTTGACATTTCTTTCACAATTGAAAGTAGAAGTATGAGACCTAACAGTTTTTACAGCAATTATATGGAATTTTGGAATACATAGGATAGGTAATGTAAAGAGGAGTATTTATCATTGCTCATTAATAAGATTACACCAGGAACTAGAGAAAAGGCATGTTTTTTTAAGGATCCATGTTAAGAAAGGGAAGGCCTTGTTCAGCCCCTATTTTGGGCACATATATTTTAAAAGGAAAATTCAAAATTGGATTCAGCTTCAATGAGAGATACCACAGTCATTCACAGGAAGTGTGTCAAGGAGGAAATGTGGTTAACAGCCACCAAGGAAGCATTGAAATAGATCAAGGCAGTAGTAGATTTCCTATACTCCAGATGTTCCTCAGGAAGTAGTGGAGACATCCTGCATTCTCCAGATCAGTACTTGATCTGCATTTTTTTTTTTTTTTTGAGATGGAGTTTCACTCTTGTTGCATAGGCTGGAGTGTAATGACACAATCTCAGCTCACTGCAAACTCCACCTGCTGGGTTCAAGCAATTTTCCTACCTCAGCCTTCCAAGTAGCTGGGATTACAGGTGACTACCACAACAGGCACTTAACTTTTGTATTTTTAGTAGAGGCTGGGTTTCACCACTTTGGCCAGGCTTGTCTCAAACTCCTTTTTAAATTACAAATTGAAGGGATATGTCACACTTATGTTCATCTTCAATCAAGGATGGAATTCAATCAGGATCACAATATGATGTGATCTCAAAAAAAAAAAAATGCAACATATCACATTATTCAGGATTTGAATTGCAAGGACATGCACCAGAATAGAAACGTTTCCAGATGCCTTAGAAACTGCAATGGCCTTCATAGGGGTCTATTAGCAATTTTAAGGTCACTTATTGCTACACATATTTAATTAAATAGAGACTTCCTGGCTATGTCCATCATTTGTGAAGAATAAATTACTAAATTTTACTGAGAGTAGATGAGTAAAGACAAGAAAAACATTTCTTAAGTGGGTAGAGCTAGGTACTGTAAGAAAGGCAAATAGTTTTCCTGTATACCTTGGCTACTACAGCAGACTATATAAACTCCTGTGTCCAAATTAGAAGCTATCTTATTATGCACATCTTTTTGGTAGAAGAGTGCCCTATTGTGGTGTACCCAAGATTAGTGAGCAATGAAATGCTCCAGCACACACATAAAATGGAAAGTTTGAACACTGCTTTCATCATAAAGTAGAAAAGGTCTCTGAAGAAAAGTATATTTTTCTTCATATATTTCAGAAGCTCCAACGTTAACATCCAATCCACTTTCTCAACCACTTCATGCAAGTTTCCCAAGTAAGTTTAGAAAAGGAAGATTTCATGATTGGGTTGAAGAGTGGAAGACACAGAGATGATGGGCTATGTGCTACTCTATTAATCAATGAAGCAGAAAATAGAAGCTATTACTTGCATTTTTTATTCCTCTGTGTAAATTCAGATTTCTATTTAGTATCATTTTTCTTCTGACTGAAAAACTTTTAAAATTTCTTGTAGCATATACATCTACCAGTGTTGAATTCTTTCAGCTCCTGTGCATCTGAAAAAGTATTTCTTGCAGGATATAAAATTCTTGGTTAATAGTTTTTTTGGTCCACCATTCCTCTAGCCCCAGTTTTGTTCCACTGCCTCCTGGTTTGTATTGTTTCTGATGATAAGTCTGCTGTCATTCTTATCTTTGCTCCTCCATATAATGTGTCTTTTATCAACTGTGGTTTCAAAATTTTTCTGTTTATGATCTGTCTTAAGCAATTAGGTTATAATATGCTTTACAAAGAGCATACATAAAGCATATTATAACCTAATATTAGGTTATAATATTAGAGATAGAGCCTACAAAATATACACTATGCATATAATATGCTATGTGCATATAATATGCTATATAATAGCATACAATATGCTATATCTAATATAGCATATTATTATTTAATATTTAATATTAGATATAGCATATTATAACTTATTCTAATGATTATTCTCATTTGGATTATTTCAGCTTTTTAGATCTATTTATTGTTTTCACCAAATTTTAAAAGATTTTAGCTATTATTTCTTCAAATACTATTTCTTATTCACTCATTCTTCTCTCATTTAAGGATTCCAATTACATGCATATTGGGCTGAATGAAAATTTCCCACAGCTCACTCATTCTCTATTCATTTTCCTCTCATTTTTGGTTAAAATTTTATTTTATTTTGAATAATTTATATTTCTATGTCTTCAAGTTCACTAAAACTTTCTACTGCAATATCTAGTCTGCTGTGAGTGCTATCTAATATATTCTCACTTCAACCTTGTAGGCTATATCTTTCCCTGTTCAATTTAGGTCTTTTAAAAATATATCTATAGTGTCTTCACATGTTCTTTCTTCTACCTTCTTAGCATACTCTATCTCCTTGAAGATAAAGCATATATTTATAGAAACTATTTTAATGTTGTTCTATACTAATTCAATCTTCTGAGCCATTTTAGGATCTGTTTCTGTTGATGGAGTTTTCTTATTATGGATTCTAGTTTCATGTTTCTTTGCAAGGCTAATTATTATTGATTGGATGCAAGACATTTTGAATTTGCTTTAGGGGTGCTGGGTATTTTGTCTTCCTATAAATATTTTTGAACTTTATGCTAGGATGTAGTTATTTGAAAATGGTTGGCAATCTTTAGAGCCTTCTCTCTGTGAAGCTCTCTTATCACTGATAATCTGCCCTATCAATTCCAGCTGCCTTGGCTTCTAGGACTCCTAATACCATCTTCTCAATTCAGGAGGACTACCAGTCTCTGCCTGCATTTCACCTCCTTGCATTGTAGCCTGGAAACACTCATTAGGTGATCAGATGGTACAATCAGAGGTCTCAGTTCATTTGTTTTTTCTTTCTCAGAGAATTTACTGTCCCACATTGATAATGTCCAGTGTCTGAAAACAATTGATTTTTATATTTTTCCAAGATTTTAATTGCTTCAGGTGAGAATCAAGTCTAGTTCCTGTTACTACATCTTGGCCCAAAGAAGAAGTTGCCCTTCTATTAATTAAAAAATTCAGATATTCACTGACTATAAGAAACTAAGTCGGAAAATCCTTTCTTGTTTTTCAATTATCTTTCAACATATAATAAAGACATAGTTGACATGTTTTAGGTGATGACCATGAAACAGACTCAGACTGTTCTATGTTCTATTTAAATAGATATGATTCTTGATCAGGGAGGGATCATTAGCTCTTTTCATGGTGGAAACAATTAGATTCAAGAATCTGAAAATCAAGATGGCAGAAGTTATAGTCTCTAAAATGACAAATAATATTTTGAAACAAATGATTTGAGATA